CTTCTAGGATCTATTTTCCATTCTTTGGACAGAGATTTTTCCTAAAATTCAAATAATATCATGCTATCCCCATTCCTCAGTGACTCCCCCATTGCCTACAGATAAAGTAGAAATTCCTTAGCATGGCATACATGCCTTGCATGATCTGGTGCCTGCCTACCTCTCTAGTCTTATCTATCACTGCAAAGTCCAAAGTATATCATCCAGTCCAGTTACAATGAAGTGATTGCAATTTCTAAAAAACACAAGATAGTTGCATATTGTTATGCCTTTGCATGTAGTCCTTTCTACCTGGCATAACTTTCTGTGCCTGTCTGCTTGGTAAGGATTCTCTTTAAAGACTGAGCAGGTAGGGCCACCTTATCTTTGGCTCTCCAACCTCCCTGTAGAATTGCTTTCTCTCTCCTGCAGCGGATACTGTTGGCTGCCTACCCAAGAGCATTCCACCTTATTTTTCTTCTTTCCCTACAAGACTCTAATTTTGTTAAGGCTATATGGCCATATGCTTCAGAAGAGGGCTGGCCTAATGTTGACTCCTCATCCATCTAAGCCAGTCAGTGATTGAGCTTAGGTATGGTTAGGTAAGGACATGCTATTCTAGTCAATGAAATGGAAGAAGTCTGCTGGAGAGCCTTTTGGAGGGTTTTCTCTCTTGATGAGACACACAGGCAGAGATGGTCTTTTCTTCTAATGGACATTACAGTTTCTGGATGAGTTGGATTTCCGGGCCTAGAACCAGAGGAGTACTGACTAATACAAAGTGTATGGTAAAAGCAAAGCAAGTTCTCCCAGACTGGGCTAACAAATCATGATGGTAACGGGTTTAAACCAGTTGCTAGAACTAACTCATCAGTGATGAGTTCCAACAAAGTAGATTTAGAGGGACTCTCCTAAGCTTCAAAGCTAAGGCTCCACATATTTCTACAGATTAAGAACAGAACTATTCCAGAGCTCAGGGCTGAACCTGTGTGGGGAGGTTGTGGCCTTGCCCTTGGGAAGAGGGTACGAGAAAACCTGGAAGGGAAGAGAGAACAGCTCTGTCCTTAGAAGGGTTATATCTGGAAAGAGCCGAGAACCCACAGAGAAGCCACTGGAAGCCAGGAAAAGAAAGAAATGGGAGAGGTACTAAGTTGCGTTTCTCAATACAAATGATCACACTGGCCCAGAGGGGCATGACACACTGGAAGAAATGCGGACTTCGGAGCCAGACTGCTGAGGCTGCAGTCCCAGTTCTGCCACTTCTAGCAGTGAGGCCCCTGGCAAGCTGCTGAATCTCTCTAAATCTCAGATTTCTCATTTGTAAAAAGAAAATGGTAATACTTTTCTTTTAGGGCTGATAAGCAAGAGTTTCTGGCTTATAATATGGGCTCAATAAAGCAGACACTCTTGTTATAAATATTTTTATATGTTAGTGATAAGGTTACCACACTAGCCTATTATCTGTTAAAAGTTTAAGTCTGCTAAAGACACGGCAACCAGTAATTTCTTGACTTGTCTTTCTGAAAATTTAATATCTCAGAAGATGGAAGAAATGATTTAAGAAACATACATTTGGGCTTAGAATTTTTGTTAAATGGTGATGGGAATCTTTGGAGAGAGCAACTACGTGAGAGACAGTATGGTGCAGCAGTAGACTTGGCTACGCACTCATCATCTATGAGCTGTGTACTCTTAGACAACTTACTTAATCTCTCTGAGCTTCAGCTTCCTCGTCTGTAATGCAAATAATATCTATTATATAGGATGTTTTTCAGGATTAGGAATAATCCATCAAAGATTTCTGGTATATTTTAGGCACTCAGTAAGTAGTACCTATTTTTATTATTATGATAAATATTAGAATGGTAAAATTTCACAGAGTTAAATGAGAAAAATAGATATGATCTCAAGACCTATCCCAAGAGGTAGGCAGTATTTTTTAAAATGTATCAGAAAAATAAACTGAATTTATTATGCTCATGCCGCTGCCCCTATTATGCTAAGTATACTTTTGGCACAATTTACCTCTTCCTTCTGAACCTTTCTTTGCTCGACTCTGCAGTTGTGATTCCAATAAGAAATAAAAGGAGAGGCTTAGGAAGAAATTATTGGTACTGTAGAGAAGTTCTTTGACTAGCTAAAATTTTAATTGAGTAATAAGTATGAAAGCCACCTCTTCTGGGTTTGAGAGTTCAGCTTGGGTGCTGTGTTAAGTATTTTATACAGATTATACTCTTTAATTCTTTCCTTTTTTGCCTACAAATTATTAGAAGACGACTGTGTAATAGACATTTATCTTATTCCTGGCTGCCCAGCCTCCAAATTGCCTTTATAAGTTTGGGGAACAGGCCACTGTGTGAGGCAGGGCCCAACATCTCACCCATGGAAGCCAAACGGCCCTGGTATCAGCTTTTCCTGATTGGGACCCAGGCATGACTGATTAGCCCACCCCTCAAGGAATGTGATTCTGGAGATAGAAGTCAAAAGGAGAAGGCAATGGGTAAAATTTATTCTGGTGGTGATGGCATTCAGTATCTGGTGATAGTGATGGCAGCTTGGTCAGCTGTGGCACCCAGTCCCCAGAGCACTGCCAGCGTCCAGCAAGGGCATCCTTCCTGTGGCATGGTTTCTTCTGTGGGTCTAGCCACCCAGCCTCCATTGGTGCCTGCCTGTATTCCTCACCTGGTTTTCTAGCCTTTCCATTGATTCTTTGAGCTCCCCAGTACGCTTTCAATAAATTCCTTTTCTGCTTCAGTTAACCAAAATCAGTTTTTGTTGTGTACAACCAAAAGACTCTGGTTAGTATGTAGTCTTTAGGTAATACTCAACCCAGAAAGAGTCTGATGCTGCTGCTTTTAGTACAGATCTATGGATAAAGTCATGGTCAAATTTGCAACTGGTCTGGGAGGTCTGTCTGGGCTCCTTTTAAGCCCATGCACCTCATGGAAAATATCTGCTTCTCCAATCTAAACCACCTATTTCTCTGTCTCCCACAACTTCTTAATTTACACTCACTCATCAACCTAGTCAATAATCACTTATGTGGCACAAGGCAATATGCCAGGCACTGAGAGGAATCCAAAGGTCAATAAGCTATAACCCTGACAGTGTACTTTGAAATTTTGAACCAGGTAAATATATTTTTAAAAAATTGAAAAATTGATCACTCTGTTGAGGGTAGAAATGAAGGGAACTCTTTTTATCTTAGAGTTAGTGTTCACTGGGGACAAGGTGATGTCCATTTCTTTGTAAATGTTCTAGAAATCAATCCGAAAAGGCAATTGGTTTCTCTTGTTAGAAGTTTAAGTCAAAAACACCAAGTAGCTCTCTAGAGCTCTGAGAAAAGATTGCCTCTCCTGAAGTTGACAACTAGGTTGCTGCTTATCAAAATATTTGTGACTAGGATGAGGGGAATTAGTGCCAGTGCATTCAAAATTTAACTCAAGATAATCCAGAGTCCTAAAATAGAATCAGAGAAACATCAGTTTCAAATGAAAACAGCATCCAGCTTGTCTCCTTTTCCTTAAAATAGCAAATAAACACTACTCCAGGGGAAGAGGGACCCCGTCGCCTCCTGGACTGCTAGTAATTTGCCCAAGGGGGTTGTCACTATGTCTGAAAACAACAGAATACTCAACACAAGCAAGGAAGAAGGGCACATATTAGTAATGTAGAGTTAAATAGGTAAAGCAGATGATTCCAGACACCTGGGACAAGGCTAGTGAGACAGACAGACAGACACACACACACACACACACACACACACTTTAAAGGACCATAAACTGAGGTGCTGAACACTCACAAGACCTTTACCCACGAACAAAGTCTAATCTAGAAGTCAGATTTGGTTTGGGGGTAAGGTCTTCATTCCCTGGGTGATTTTGGACAAGTCACTTAACCACTGTAGGACTCACATTCTCTTCAGAATCCCTTCAGAATTGTAAGGAAATTTAGAGACCACCTAAGCCAGTCTTTAACTATTGCATTACTTTTCTTTGAAGCATCCCTAATAAGCGCCTCTGCTTAAATGCTGACTTAAAAAACATTTTTTTTGCCTTAAAAAAATATTTATTTATTTATTTTACTGAAGTACAATCAATTTACAATGTGTCAGTTTCTGGTGCACAGCACAGCACAATGCCCAGTCATGCATATACATACATGTATTCGTTTTCATTAAATGCTGACACAATGCTCACTCTCCTCAGGCAACTGGTGTCATTTTTGAAATGCTTTGATTGTTAGAGAAGTTATTCCTTACATATTTGCAGTTTGTCTCCGTATGTCTTTCCCCATGTTAGTGACCTCTAAGGTCATATGGGTGAAGTCTTATCCATGGACAGCTCTTTAAGAAAGCTCTCAACTTCCTTTGCTTTTCTCATTTACAGACTAAAACCACCCCCTCCTTTCCTATTGTTCTCATCCATCACGTTCAAGGTACAGCATCATTCTGCTCTTCATATTTTTATGTGTGTAGAGTAGTGGTTAAACAGCCCGAGGCCTCAGACGGTCTGAATTTGAGTACTGGTCCTGTCACTTAGTAGCTATGTGACAGTGGGCAAGTTATTTCTCTAGCCTCAGTTTTTCTCTTTAAAATCAGGATGGTAATAATAAGTATACCTATCTCTTAGAGAAGCTGTGAACGAGATAAATGAGAAAATACAAGTAAAATGTTCAGTATAATACCTGGCACTGAGTAAGCAATATTACTACTGCTATCACTAATAATAATAAATAATAAATTCACAGAATGAGAATAAGAATAAATGTTAGAATCGGGGAATTGAGAAAAGTTAGTCTATGCATAACTCCATAAACAACAATTGTTTTCCCTGATATGAAACTTTCCATACTTTTCACAGTAATGATCAGTTTCAAGTGTGTGTTCATTGTCTGACCTGCCCCGAAAGGACAGGAAAATTGTCTGTCTTGTTGAATGCTCAATATTTAGTGCCTAGAACAGTGTCCTGTTTACTACTATGAGTCATAGAAAAGGAAACTAGGGTGCAGGGAGACTGGCAGCTTTATCTAAGATTGTGCAGAGGGCTCCCAGGAGAGCTAGGACAGGAACCCAGAGGTCCTGCGGGCCACTGCATGGCTGCTGCTGCGGCCCCCAGGCTGGGCCGAGCTCCCAGAGAAGCGAGTGGAAAACAACCTGCCTCCAGATGGACAATTAACAAAGGCGGGAGCCGGGGCCGCCCTCTCGCGGCGCACGCACATACGCAGCGTGGGCAGATTGGTGTCTGCCCGCGCCCTTCGTGGGAACAGCGCGCACAAGCTCCCGCGCGGCGGCCGTGTCCGGGACCCCCGCGCCCCTCCAGCCCTGGCTGCGCAGTCACCGGGGCGGCCGAGCTCCCCGCGGGAGCCGGCACCTTGCGCACAGCGCGGTGAGTCCACCGGGGTAACTGGGGCCGGGGAAGGGTGCTGGAAAACAGTTGCTGATCAGATCCGGAAAGGGAGGTGGGGGAGAGCGGGAGCAACAACGCCTGGGTTGCTCAGTAGCTAGCTTTTTGTCTTGAGCCTTAAGGGAATATGAGCAATCTGATCCGTCCGACCCAATCTGGTCAGTTTACAGGTGGGAAACAGGCCCAGAGAGGTAAGCTGGTCTAGTAAAAACTAATTATTTTTCCTTGTATTTCTTTGTTTATCCTTACCTATTTCACTGTAGGATTAGAGGCGACTTTTAATAAGAATCCATACATTAGAACAATGAAATAATACAAACAATGGCTAAAACAAAAACAATAACAATAACAATAACAAACAACCTTACACATGTAAGTATAGTTATAAATAAACAGCTAGGACCAGGGGAAAATAGAACTGAAATCTGTGGTCCATAGGTGAGCTGCATTGGCCAACGTCCCTCAGATAAGTAGTGCCAAGGCTGCGACTGGGAGCCAGAACTTCCGGCTCCCGCTCCAGTGCTCCCTGAACAGCGAGCGCCAGAAACTTGGGAATGGCGAAGCTGACAGCCTGCCAAGCCGCTGGCTCTTAACCTTGAAATCACTGACTCCTTAAAAATCTGGGTTCCCTCCCGTGGGTTCACGCATAATCTTGCATACAGTTTCAGATTTGACAGCGGGGTGAAGCGTCCCTGCTGTGAGGAATGACTGAAGTCTGGCATTTAGACTGTGCTCTTTCAGAGCAATTTATTTGCTCTTTTAAAGGGAAGCAGCTGGTAAAAAGAGTAGATTCCTTCTGTGAGTCCGGACAGCGTCCTGATGCCCCTAGCTGCCTGATCTTGGACACATAGTTTCATCTCGCCAAGGCCCAGTTTTCTTTGTAAACCAAAGAAAAGATTGTCTGCCTCCTCTTTCAGGTTATTGTCAGACTGCAAATGAACATTGAGCCCAGTGCCTGGCACTAGTAGATGCTCCATAAGACTGGTACATACAACCCAGTGAGTCAAAGCTGTGCCAGTTAAGAAAGGGTGATAACCTGGCGGAAATTAGGCTTATCCGAAATAAAAGAAAACAAAATTAAAAAATTAAAAACATGCAAGTATAAAGTCAATCCTATTATGACTTACAAAGAACGGCACATACCTTGGTGATAGGAACCTAAACAAGAGTGCACTTGGAATAATGCACTATGCTGAGTATTTGACCCAAGGTCAAATGCTGAAAGTAGAAACTACCAGACATTCTAACAAGGACCATTTATTGGGCCTCACTTGCCACTTTTGAATGGAGCCAGCACCTGTATAGTTGTTATGTATGTATGTATGTATGTATGTATGTATGTGTAGTTGTTTTTAAATGAGAAGAAAGAGAAAGACATACATGGGAACCAGGACACCACCAGCAATGGTGTGCATTTGCCTAGTGATGGAGGCTCAGCTGAGTTTCTGCCAGGGTACAGGAGTTAACTTGGTAGTTGGCTCACATCCCTCTTGGATCAGAGTCTTGCTGTGGTAAACAGTGCCTTGGTTGATTCTGCCCTAGAACAAATAAATGGCTTTTTATTTAACTGATGGTGGGGGTGGGGTGGGGTTGTTTGGGTGCTGTAACTAAAGCAAAATGGTATTTGTTGAGCTTGATTGTCTAAAGCCTGTTGTTTGTTTATTGACAGGCTTAAGCTCTTTAAAATCTGTGGATCCAAAATTGTGAGGACAGGGCCCGGGGCAGACCTACTTATCTATAAAAAGAACTGCTCTTACCAAATACTGTGTTGTCTTCTTTCTCAACCATTTTAGGCCTTGCAAACAGAGCCAGGGAAATATGGTTTAGGGCAACTAGCTGCTATTTAATTTGGGCTAGGAGACACACTACCTGATTGGTGGTTACATTCCTCTCTGTGTGTTTATAAAGGGGAGTTTTTCCTCAGAAAGAGAGAGTGTATGTATGTGTATGTTTGGCATGTCTCTTCCCCTCTCTTCTTCACCCTCAATCAGTAATTTCTCAACTCAGAGGAGTCCTTTTTCTCCAAGCTTGGTGACTTTGGCAGGTTCCTTAAATTGCTGGTTCTATTGCCTGATTTTGTTTCACAGTAGCTCTGTTAGAAAGGTTTGTTTGTTTTTTTAAATTTGGTTTTTAGATTCCAAACTCTTGGTGCTCCATGGGACAACATAGAGCAAACACCCACTCTCTCGGGCAAAGGCTTTTCCTTATTTGAAGACGACCCATGTACCCCTTCCACGTATCTTCTCCTCCAGACTCGTTGTCTTCATTCCTTCAACTATTCCTTTATAGGATAAGAGTAGGAGCAGAATTTCTCAAGAAATTATCTACAGATCACTTGCATCAGAATCACCTAAGGGCTTATCAAAATGCCCTGTCTGTGACATACTGAATCACAATCTTCATGAGTGGGGGCAAGAATTTGCATACCTAATAAGCGTTCCTGGTGATTCTTACGCACCTCTAGTTATGTGTTTAAGGGAGTGGGAAACTATTAATTATTTATAAATTCCTGTGTTGTTTATCTAGTTATGTAATGAGCAAGAGCCTCTTTTGTAATTTAAACAGACAAATAAGAAACCCATGATGTCCAAAGAAGATATATTGATGGCAAATAAGCTCTTGAGAAGATACTCAAGATCATTAATCACTGGGGAAATGCACATTAAAACCACAAGCAGGTAACATTTCAAAGACGGCTACACCAAGTGTTGTCGAGGTCGTGGAACTCTTACACACTGTTGATAGGAATGTAAAATGGTACAACTACATTTTAAAAGTTTGACATTTTCTTTAAAAGTTAAATATATACTTGTCTTGTGATCGAGACATTCCATTCCTAGGTCCAGCTTTATCATGATAGAGAAGCTGGAAGCAACCAACTGTTCATTCAGTGCATGGATAAACAAACTGTGGTCTATTTATATAATAGAATACTACTCAACAATAAAAAGTAATGAACGATTGATACATGCTACAACATGGGTGGATCTCAAAATAATTTTGCTTAAAGAAGAAAGCCAGACAAAAAAGTGTGCATACTATATAATACGTTATATAAAATTCAAGGGGAGTTTCTGTCTCTTATCTTACCTCAAACTTTGTGGTGGCTTCCAGGAGTTGTGTATGATCATCTTAGTCTAACTCCATTTGTAAGAGTGTCATTGGCAATTTGGTTGCTGTTCTGCCAGGGTTTATCCATGTCATTCAGTCATTAATTCAATTAATTGAGCACCTACCATGTGCAAGATCTAGAGTAGACCCAAGGTAATTGATGAATAAAAGAAACATGATCCCTGCCCTTATGGAGTTTCTGCTCTATACAACGAACCAGTAAAACAAATAGAATAAGAAACATGATTATTGGGAGAAAGGAGTGGTTCTTTGGAAGGCGAATGGGAGTCAGGGAAGACTTGTCTGGGTTTCAGGCTAAGAAATAAAGCAGTCAGTTTTATGTTTTTCACCACTCTACTCTAGTGCTATGCATCCAGTTCAGGAGAAGGGTGGTGGAGTTTTAGACTCGGGTAGTCTTAGAGGTGGGAAGCACCAAAAGAACTAATGGCTATCCTTAATACTACAGGACAGATCCCAGAGGCTGACGTTGACACTGATCAACATTCTTTGAATTTGGCAGTTTTATCAGTTTTTAGTTTTTGTTACTTTCTTATTGCCTCCCCTCCTCCCCTAGCCTCCATCACCACATCTTATTCCATTACTGCATCTCATTCCTTATTTGTAAGAATGTCATGAGAGACCATCAACACCCTGCTGATCCAGTTACACTAGGCTATAGCATTCCTTTGATCTACTGATCTAGTCCACTTTGGTTAAGGGAATGAGGGTAGTCTGGCATGACCTGTTCTGTTTTTTTGTTAACCTATTCTGGCTCCCTGTTTCCCTTTCTAAGGGCTGATAGACCATCTGTTTTAATCAGGTAGCAGAAACCCAACTCTGAGTGGCTTAGGCCAATGCAGGATGGGGAATGAAAATGTATTATCTCATACCAAAAAAATCCAAAGGGAATCAGCTTCCATCATGGCTGGATTGAGTAATGCCATCAGGGCTCAGTCTCATGGTCTTTCTGTATCTCAGTTTTATTTCTTTGGTGTTAGATGCATTGTCAGTCAGGCTCTGCTTTGTAGTTCTCATTACTTACTATTATCATCATGATTAGCTGTTCTCACCACCTACTTGAATATGATCAGCGAAGTGTCTCATCCAGGGTCATGCCACTCTCTCTATTTTAACAGTAATAGTAACAAAAACAACAGCTACTGTTATTGAGAACTTACCATGTACCAGAAACTTTGCTGGACACTTTACATGGAGTATTTTATGAAATCTTATAATAGCCCTGTAAGGAAGGTTATACAGTTATCCCAGGAACCTGGCTGATTGATTGCAGAATCAGAATTTGAAATAAGGTTTTCTGGCTCCAGAGTCTAGGCTCCTAATCTTCACAGTGCCCCCTGCAGTCACTCTTCAGGGCTAAGAAAAGGAAAGCTAAGCCATCAAATAGTGTACCTGTTTCTGAACCTTTTCTGAACATAAACCTTAAAATTTAGTTGGCAGTGATAGGGGCAGAGCTTTGGAGGTTATTCTTACATTTTTGTCAATCCCATATCATTCTTCTTTTCTTTGTTTTAATTGAAGTATAGTCAGTTTACAGTGTTGGGTCAATTTCCGGCTTATAGCATAATGTTTACATACATATACATAATATATTCCTTTTCATATTCTTTTTCATCATAGGTTACTACAAGATATTGAATACAGTTCCCTGTACTATATGTATAACTTGTTGTTTATCTATTTTATATATAAGTATCTGCAAATCTTGAACTCCTAGTTTATCCCTTCCCACCCCCTTTCCCCTCAATCCCAGATCCTTCTTCATTTTAGAGTTCTGGAATCTCTTTGTATAGGGACCTCCCCTCTGACTTTTGTGAATATCTTTATAAACTAGGCTCATTAGCCAGGATCCCTTTGTGGCCACTTTTGTTTCTATAGGTATTTCCTCCCTTTATTCTTCAACAGGGTCTTTTGCTGTCACGATGCTTGAACTTCATCTTTGACAGTCTTCCCTGAACCCTAATCCCTAGAATCTCAGACAGAGGTTTTACTTCCTTTTAAAATTTTTTCTTAAATGTTTAAATTGACTTCCCTCTAGAACCTGGGGTGGAAGATTGTTGGATGTCCATCTTTTCTTGCCATGACATTTTACATTTTCTTATGAAAGAACTTTAAGATGATGGTCTCACTTTTCCCTGGGATCTACTTACTTCCATTTCTTCATTCTGTTCTTCTGATTGGTCAGAATTAGCTTCAGAGTATCATTGCTGTTGTTACTTCTAACTTCTATTTTGAAAGGCATGAAATTATCAGGATGTCTATAACATTTATTTAGTCCCTCTGCTTTTAGTGAAATGAAACTTGGAGCAAGTAACCAGGTGTTTTAAATGCCCCATCCTTATTGTAGAGCCCTTTTTTCCCTTTTAAATTTGTATACTCAGAATCCAGAAAAATGCTTGGCATGAAATAGCTGCTCCAAATATTTGTTGAATGAACATGTGAATGTCCAAATTTTCCTGTACCAGTATGAAGAGAAGAGAAGAGAAGAGAATGAACTGTTTTATCCTATCCTAGAGTCAGAAGTAGTCACTGCTTAACATTCAGCAGACTTTTTTTTTTTCAGTACCAACTATATGCTAGACCGATTTTAGTTCTTAATTGCCTATCACAGGTCATCAAAGAGGTCTCAGAGCTGAGCATGGGACTATATTGAAAGGCATTATTTTCCCAAATGTATTCTCCAAGACAAGCCTCCTTATCAGACCAGAAGAGGAAATGGAACAAAGGCACCCAGCCTGCTCTCCCAGGCTTTTAAGCTGCATTTGTCCTGAGAGTGTCACAAAGACAGTGGATGACTTAAGCTGTCTAATACTTTGTTTTTGACTTTTTATTCTGAAATAATTATAGGTCAACTGGAAGTTGCAAGAAGAGTACAGAGAGGTTCTTTTCTTTACCAAGTTCCTCCAATGGTTACATCTTATTTAAATACAGCACAATGTTAAAACCAGGAAATTGGCATTGGCATAATATATGTGTATGATTGTTCTGTGCAGTTTTATTACATGTATAGATTTCTGTAACCACTGCCTCAATTATGGTACAGATCTATCCTGTCACCACAAATTTCTCCCTGGTGCTATTCCTTTGTAGTCACACCCACCTGCCCCCAACCCTCATCCCTAACCAGGTGATTATTCTGATCTCTGTCTCTATAATTTTGGATGTTATATAAATGGAATAATACAATATGTAACCTTTCCAGGTTGGGTTTTTTTTTTGCAGGCAGCATGATAGCCTCAAGAACCATTCAGTAGTTGCAGTTTATCAGTAGTTCATTCCTTTTTATTTCTGAGTATTCTGTGATATTTGATATGCCACTTTTTTTTTTAGCTATCCACCTTTAAACTCACCTATTAAGCAACACTTTGGTTGTTTTCGGTTTTTAGCTATTACCAGTAAAGCTTCTATGAACATTTGGAATATTTGTAAACAGGTTTTTATATAGACATAAGTTTTCTTCCTCTGGAATAGATGCCCTGTGGCGTGATTGCTGGAAAGTATATGTTTAGTTTTTAAAGAAACTGACAAACTATTTTCCAGAGTAGCTGTACCATTTTTACATTCCCATCAGCAACGTATGAGAAATCCAGTTTCTCCATACCCTTGCCAGGACTTCATATTATAAAATATTTTTTGAGTAACAGTTTTATTGAGATATAATTCACCCATTTAAAGTGTACATATCAATGGTTTTTAGTATATTCACTGAGTTGTGCAACTAGCATCACAGTAAATTTAGAACATTTCACCATTCCCAAAAGAAACCCAGCCACCACATTCCAAACCTCTGTCCCTTCAGCCCTGGAAATTACTAATCTACTTTCTGTTTCTATAGATTTACCTATTCTGGACATTTCATGTAAATAGAATCATAAAATATGTGGTCTTTTGTGACTAACTTCTTTCATTTAGCAAAATGTTTTCAAGATTCTTTCATGTTATAGCACAAATCAGTATTTATTCCTTTTCATTGCCAAATAATATATAATATTTTTAATGAAATAAAAATGTATTTCTTTCCATTATATGGACTATAAACTAAGAGAATAACAAA